GTGATGGTTAATTCTGTGTGTCAATTTGACTGAGGCACAAGGTACCTAGATATTTGGTCCAACATTATTCTGGGTGTTTCTGTGAGGGTGTTTTTGGATGAGATTAACATTTAAATCGAAAGACTGAGTAAAGCAGGTCACCCTCCCTAATGTGGGTGGGCCTCATCCAATCGGTTGAAGACCTGACTAAAACAAAAAGCCTGACCCTCCCTCAAATAAAGGGGAATTCCTCCTGCATGACTGCCTTCAAGCTGAGACGTAGGTTCTTTCCCCTGCCTTTGACTCAGACTGAAACATCAACTCTTCCTGGGTCTTGAGCCTTCCAGCCTTTGGACTTAGACCACACCATCAGCTCTCTTGAGTCTCCAGCTTGCTGACTGCAGATCTTGGGACTTGTCAGCTTTCATAATCATGTGAGCCAATTCCTTGTAATGAATTCTCTCTATACGTATAATCTATTGTTCTGTTTCTGAGAACCCTAACACAGCAGGTATAAGCGCTAGCCCACTGGTTCTCAAAGTATTGGTCCCAGTATGCAGCAGTATCAGCATCACTAGGAAACTTATTAGAAATGAAGATTCCTGAGCCCATCCCAGACCTGCTAAATCAGAAACTCCGGGGCAGGGCCTAGCAGACTGTGGTTTCAGAAGCCCTCCAGGTGATTGTGATGCCTGCTCACATCTGAGAACTACTATTCTAGGCTAAATCTGTATCACACCTGTAACTGAATTCTTCTTTGCTCCTCACAGTGTGCTCTGTGGACCAGTGGCCTGAGCATCACCTGGGGGCTGGTTATAACTGCTGACCCTTGGGCCCCACTCCAGACCTACAGAATCAGAATCTGCATTTTAACAAGATTCCTCAGGTGACCTGTGTGCCTCTCCCTGTGTTTGCATTAAACAATCTCGTAAGATGACTATGAGAATCCTGAGACCTGGATCTCCTCTGGGCCTGCCAGTTTGACTTTCCTGGGCTCCTGAGCTCATGTCCTTAAAATTAACCCTCTATTACTTGAAATGACTGAAGTGACCCTCTGGTTCGTGAAACACACCGGGCCTTCTCAGACAGACCACAAGTCTGGGGCACATCTGTCATTTCAGCCCCACCCCTCACTCCACCCCATACCCCTGGCTCATCCTGTGTATGTGCTGGCCCAGGACTACTCATAACCTTGTTCACACATGTGGGTTCTCTCCTTTTTTCTGGGTAAGCCTTGTTTATCCCTATTCAAATGGGAGCTTCTAGAGCTCTGCTGTCCAATACGGTAGGCATTAGCCACACGTGGTCACTGAAGTCTTGAAATAAGGCTAGACTGAACTGAGATGTGCTGTAAGTGTAAAATATACCCCAAATGTTGAAGAATGTAAAATACCTCATTAATAATTTTTATATTGATTATATCTTGAAACAATAGTATCTTGGATATACTGGGTTAAGTAAAATATTTTATTAAAATTGATTTCACCTGTTTTTTTAACATGGCTACTAGATAACTTAAGATTACATATATGGCTCATATTATATTTCTACGGACAGTGCTGTGCTAGAAACCAGGCCTGGGGCCCCTCCAGTGGAGAGAAAGCCCCCGGAGGGCGAGCACCAAGTCTCCTCCCTGCTCTGCACCAAGCATCTCTGACTGACCTCTGAGCCCTCTAGGGGTGGGGGAGTGTCCAGCTGGCTACAGAGAGCTTTTCCAGGGCTCAGACAAGGGTCGCATCCTGCTGCACAAGGTCATGAATGGTCCTGTCGTTGGGGTGCTTCTTGTCATGGAGGATGTGGCATGTTTCTTGGCCCTGGTTACCAAACTGGAAATCAGATGAGGAAGCTTTCTCCACTACTCTCCATGCAAGGATTTTCCTCTGGAAGTAGTTCTCAGGATGAGAATCCCAGGTTCAAACATGACAAGGCCGCCATTTACTGGGTGCCTACTCTTTGCCAGTGCTGCGCGGATCCTTACCCAACCCCTTGGGGCAGCCATCAGCTCCAGTTTACAGAAGAGGAAATAAGGCTCTGAAAGGTGAATTTCCTCATAGTTAGAAATTGGTGAAGCTGAAATCCAAGACGGTTTGACAACACTGCCTTCTAAACTTGACCACTAGGGGGTCAAAAGGCTCCACACAGGAATTACACTCTTAATTCCAGGACCTCTGCTCTTCCCAAGTAAGAAGCATAAGTAAGAAGCACAGCACAGAAAGTTGGCAAGAAGGCAGGTGGGCTGCTAGATCATCTTTTTAAGAGTTTGGGCTAGCCTGGCACCGTCAACAACTTATCCACGGCAGAAGGGACCAGAGTGGATCCTTCCAGGCCTATGGTCTATGGGGTGGTCCCAAACCACACATCAGCTGCAACTGGGCTTTGATGCAGAAGCATCATTCCCCTATAGCTCTCCTGTCTTGTCTCCTGCCCTTGCCCCAAGTACCATGACCTACTAAACTTTTTCCTGCTTAGTTGAGACATCAGATCTAACTTCCTCAACAATGGGAATCGAGAAAAAGGTTGCATAGTACTGGGGTTTTATATACCTCCCCGCACTCCTAACCCACTCTGTTCCTTTAAAATGGATCATAGAAAATTAGGGCTAGCCCAGGCTGTCGAGACCACTGAATTCAAACCCTTCTTTCTGCAGAAACAGAGGTTCAGAGGTTTAAAGTCACACATCTGATGGCAAAAGTTGGGACCAGGACCTTAGACCTCTGACTCATAATTCTCCATTTCCCCAGCTCCAAGCAGAAAATCAGAAAAGGGGTGTTATAGGCTGAATTTTTGTGTCCCCACCCAAATGCATATGTTGAAGCCCTAACCCCCAGTGTGACTGTATTTGGAGACAGGGCCTATGAGGAGGTGATAAAGTTTAAATGAGGTCACAAGGATGGGGCCTTAACCAACAGGGCAGTGCCCTTTTAAGAAGAGGAAGAGATACTGGAGTGCACTCTCTCCCACCCTCCCTCCTTGTCTCTCTGTCTCTCTGTCTCTCTGTCTCTCTCTGCCATAATGTGAGGACACAGCGAAAAGTGGGTATCTGCAAGCCAGAAAGAGAGCCTTCACCAGAAACCAAATTCTGCTGGACTTTGATCTTGGACTTCCAGCCTCCAGAACTGTGAGAAAATAAATTTCTGTTGTTTAAGCCATGCAGTCTGTGGTATTTAGTTATGGCAGCCTGAGCTGACTAATACAAGGGGATAAAGTAATTTTTATTTGGGAGCCTCAATTCAAAGTTTGAGCATTGAAAAGTGCATAATGTAGGGGAAAGCATAGCACCAGAATTGGCAGAGATGAGGGCCATCCAGAGACTCTGACTGGGGGCCCCATTCCATCTGGTATGCTCTAGCCCACAGGCACTTGAAGGTCATTAAAATGAGTGACTTACTCAGTTAAAGAATTTGGCGAAAGCATCTAAACTATGCATATTCGGTTTTGTGAAACAGCCTGTCTGTCCTTCCATGATGTAAAGAAATAGGGAAAACATTGGCCCAGGTGCACCTCGCCCCCTTCCGGAACCTTCCCTGGCTATCTTAATCCTCATACACAGTGTCCCCTGAAAACCAGGTTGGGAGGACTGTCTTCTGAGACAGGAGGAAGTGAGTCTGACCTCCTGGTTTATAAGCTCTTAGAAAGGCCTGGAAGGGTTGAGGGAACCTTGTCATACTTCTGAGAGTCTGATAAAACCCCATGTCCTTTCAGACATCGGGCCTTTAAGCAGCAGCCAGTGGCCTGAACTGGAGATATCCTCATCAGTGGAGCAGCTTCAGCATGCGGGGGATACACTAGCAGCAAAAGAAACAATTTACTTACAGTCAAATATTTCTCCTGGAAGTTTTCAAGTTAATAAAATTAATAGAATTTTTTTTTAAAATCCTTTATTTTTTATTTATTTTTCTGTGAGGAAGATCAGCCTTGAGCTAACATCCGGTGCCGATCCTCCTCCTTTTTGCCAAGGAAGATCGGCCCTGAGCTGATCTGTACCCATCTTCCTCTACTTTATATGGGACGCCGCCACAGCATGGCGTGACAAGCAGTGCACCGGTGTGCGCCCGGGATCTGAACCCGCGAACCCTGGGCTGCCGAAGCGGAGCGCATGCACTTAACCGCTTGCGCCACCAGGCCAGCCCCTAGAATTTTTTTAAGTACAAAGAAAAAAAAAAGGACAAAATAACTAATCAGTTTTGACACATTTGGTGTGTTTATCTTGTATATATTTTTCTGAGTTTTACAAAATTTTTCCTAATGGGTATGTATTTATAATGATGATGATAAACACTGTTCATTCATTCTCCAAATATTTCAGTATCTATCATGTGCCAGGAAGTTTTCTAGATGCTGGAGATACGGGAGTAAACAACATAAAGTCCCTCTCCTCCTACAGCTTCCATTTAATTGTGGGGGAAGGAGGAGATCATAAAACGTGATGCAGTGACGAGCCCTTGAAGAAAAAATTTGGGTGGAGTGAGAGGATGGAGAGTCATGAGGATGGGGTGGTCACAAAGGGTTCTCAAAGGAGGGGACGTTTAAGCAGAGATCTGAAGGGAGTGAGGGGCTGGGTCAGGTGAAGGGCTGCGGAAAGAGCTCTTCCTTTAGACAGGGAACAGCAGGAGAAGGCCCTGAGACTTTGCTGAAAAAAGAGCAGAGGGCCAGTGTGACCACAGTGGAGCGAGCAGGCGAGGAGTGGTAGGAGATGGGTCTGGAGAGCCAGGCGGGGGCCAGACAGGGCAAGACTTGTAAGGCTATGATAAGGAGTCTGGTCTCCGTCTCAATAAGGGGAAGCCATGGGAAGGCTGGAGCAGGAAAGGAGGTGATTGCAGTTTGACAAATATTGTCTGCTGGGATCCCTCCCTTTTTCGCAGGGACCATCTCTCCCATCAGATTAAAAGGTCTGGAGTTCAGGGATGGGTGTGCTTTCTCTTGTGGGCTCCTCTCCCAAGAGAGGGCTGAAGCAGGAGCTGCAGGCCTCGGGGAAACTGATGGCTCATCTCCCACCAGGGCTCTCGCCTCCTGGGACTCACCTTCTACCGTCAACTCCACTGTCACCTGGCGGGCACCACTACCATTGGTGGCTTCACAGGTATACTTTCCCTTGTCCTCCTCACGGACAGCATGAATCACAAGGCTGAAAGTCCCCCGGATACCACAATCCAGCAGGAAGCGGCCGCCACTGGTGATGGGTTGCCCATTTCTGTGCCACGTCACTTGGGGCTCTGGGTAACCCCGGACCTTTAAGGAAAAGAAGAAAGGATGAGAGCTTATATTTAAGGAGAACTTCCTATGTGCCAGGTATTGTTCTGAGTGTTTCACATGTGTTAACTCATTTAATTCTCATAACATCCCGTGAAGTAAATACCACATTCATTTCCATTTTAGAGATGAGGAAATTGAGGCACAGAGAGTTTTGGTAGATTTCCTGAAGCCTTGAAGGTAGAAAGTGGCAGAGTCAGGCATCCTAGCTCCAGAGCCCACTACACACGTGACTCTGAAGCCTGGTTGCATATTAGAATTACCAGGAGGAGGTTTAAAAAATACTAGCGCCCAGACCCTACATTGGACCAATTAAATCAGAGGTAGGGACTGAGCATGGGGATTCTAGACCAGTGCTTCCCACTCTAACATGCAAATGAATCACTTGTTAAAATGCAGAGTCTGCTTCTATAGTTCTTAGGTGGGGCCTGAGATTCTGCAGTTGTGACAAGCTCTCAGATGATGCTGATGTTGCTGGTCCCTAGAACTCACCTTGAGTAGCAAGGTTCTAGACCTAAGCTGCCAGGTATGGCAGCCACTAACCACACCTGGCAATGGAGCACTTGAAATGTGGCTAGTCTTAATTGAGTTGCACTGTAAGTGTAAATCATACATTGGGTTTTGAAGACTTAGTATAAAAAAAAGAATATAAAATACCTTGATAATTTAAAAATATTGATTACATGTTGAAAAGATACTATTTTTGACATGGGTTAAATAAAATATATTGTTAAAATTAATTTCACCTGTTTCTTTTTAAGTTTTTAATGTGGCTATTAGAAAAGTTACAACTACCTATGTACCTTGCTTGAAGTTTTTATCCAGCATTGCGGCTCTAGACAGCTCTTTCTTGGATGATAGTTAGCAACTAACATCTGTTGAGTGCTAAGTGTTAAACACTTTTCTAAGTACCTGATGCATCTGAGCCTGCTAGCAACTTGTTCAGAGAGAAGATATTTCCCAAAAGAGGGGAAAATGCAGAGAGAGAGAAATTCTAAGAAAATAAATCACCTTGAATGTCAGAGAAAGAAAGTTCCCCAAGGGCCCTCAAGCCCCCAAAACTCAACAGGCCCTTCAGAATGGCCTCCTCTTTGGAGGAGCAGGGCTCAGGCTGACCCATCAACACACAGGCTGGGACCCAGAACTGGGGGATTTTAACACTGGAAAATGCACAGAAGACATCACAGAAGCCTCCTGAGAAAGAAGTTGTTTGTGTTACACAATGGTGGTGGCAACAACTTTTATCCATGTATCTACTCCAAGACAAGAGAGGATGAAGCATAACCAAAATTTGCTGCATGACCCCAGGTTGCATTTACAAAGAAAGCCTTCAGTGACCTACAGCAATAATCCTCCTCACACCCCCTGCACTGTCAGAGAGGATGCTACATCAGCATGTGGGAGAAAGGTGGAAATGAAGTAGCATGTGCATGCGCCTGGGCATCCAAACACTTCTAATTCCCTGAGCATCCTAAGGGAAGAAAGACCTGTGTACACGCGGCAGGAGTCGTCCTTGGACTGTGCCCTCTTTCCTCCCAGGTGTCCAGCCCCAACTCATCCTTAGACCCATTTCTCAATAGCCAGGATGCAGATGTCTTCCTGGGGAAGGAAGCCTTGAATCACAGAGAAAATCCCCAAAGTGGACAATCCCCTCTTAGGTTATTCCACAGTCTCCCCGCTCAGTGCCAGTTCAGGAATCTCACAAGGCCTGCCTCCCCATCTCACTACTCTGTAGACAGACTTCGATGAAAAAGAAACAAAAGCAAATCAAAACCCCGATTCAATATTCCCCATCTTATTTACAATTTCTGGAAACAAAAAAATTCCTTTCCTATCAAAATTTACACTCTACCCATGACAGAGATTGACTACCCCTGAGGGAATGCTTAGATTCTGAAGTCACTCCCCCCACAAGCAGGACAATACTGTCTGAAGACCCTGCAGCCTCACTGAGCACACGGGTCCTCTCTCAGGCTGCTGTGTTGGAGGGGACCATGTTCATTTGGACAGATAAGCTCTCACATCTCCTATAACATGAAACAAAGTATTGACAGTGGTTGTCTCTGGGTCTCCTTTTCCTTAACTATTATTTTCTGATATTTCTGCAAACAACATGCCTGGCCTTTGTAAAATAGAAAAAAATTTCTAATAAAAAATTTGTTCCTTTTATATTAGTGTGTCTGTATAACGAATGTATAGCACAAACATTCATTAGTTTATTGAGGCCCTTAGGGTACTTAAATCTGGCAATGGAAATAAAAGTGCTATACAAATAAACATTACGCATGTTTGAAGGTGACCAATGTCATGTCCCCATATAAAAGCACATCATCTTGTGGCCCTATCTTGGCACAAAGGGTCACGCAAAGGAACATCAGACAACAATTACTCTGTCCAAGCAATATTCTTTTCTGTTACAGCATGTTTTCAGGAAGCAACTAAGGAAAGAAACTCTTTCCTACAGAAGGAAGCCCCTTGGGAGTCTGGTCATGCAGTGAATTTGCAAATCATCAGTATCTTCTCCTCCATCCTGTTAGGCAGGGGGAGCCTGACCTCCAGAAGGTGATCAGGCAGCCTTCTGTCAGCTTCAGAGAAGGCAGTGCAGAGCACTGGAGCTGGGAGGAGATAATCATTAACTGCACCAAAGGCATCGTTAGCATTCCATTAGCAAGTCCTCTGGCCCCCTGTGCAGCGTCAACCCCGGTGGCCCATCAGGCCCTGAGGCATCAATGATTAACTATGGGCATTGCAAGTGTTCCAAACCTTGGATCCTTCTTTCTCTTTCAATTTTCCTCTAATTCTCTACATACATACATATAACTCCCTCCCCCAAATTCACCTCTGAAACACCCTGTCAAAATAAATATCCAGGGGTTTTTAATATGCTGAAACTGGTACCTCTTACAAAGTTGCAGTTTGCAGTGGGACTTTGGTAGCACCTCGCATCTGAAGCAGAGGCAGGAATTTCCGTGACCTTGCTCAGTTCCAAGGTTTGCATGATCTGCAGCTCCCATTCTTGCCCTCTCAATATGGGAAAAACTTGTTTAACCACTACCTAACATTACCTAAAAACTATTCAACTTCAAGTAAACCAGTTTTTACTGTCTTCCCACTATCCTGGGCTCCTAGGGAGGAAGGAAGAGAAGCCTTGGTTCATGTCCTTGGGATGCATGACAAAGCCCTGCCCTGCCCTCCCCGGGTGCCTTATGTGCCTTCATCACAGGCCTTCAGCCAAGAAGCCTCGGCGGGGATTTTTGCAGCCAGGCCCAAGACCACAGTAAATACCTATTGATACTTTAGTTTTCAGAGGGCCCCCACATACAGAATCTTATTTGATTCTTGCAACACTATGAGGGAGGTGTCTTGGGTTGGGTGCCCCAGAAGCAGAACCTGACATAGGGATTCAGGGAACCCTATCTGCGAACCCTCAGCCAACACTCAGGGCAGCTGGGAATGGGTGTACTGGCCTGCTGAAGGGGTCTGGGTGGGGCCCAACAGTGACTGTGACAGCACACAAAGCCAACCATATTATTAAGCCCAGAGAGCTGGGGAGATAGGCCTGGAGAAGTGGATGACTGGCCAGTGATCTCACAGGGCAGATTAAGTGGCAGATCTGGGACCACAGTTTTGGTCTCTGAGTTGAGTGATTGTCTCTCTGTGCCTCATTGTAAATTCATGTTTTTGCTGAGACAAATACTATAGAACCCAAAGCATTAATAAGTGCCTATCTCTAACAGACGCTACATCTCTTTCAGGTTAAAGCCATATCTGCTCCCCACTTTGGGAAAAAATCAAAGGGTTCACAAAAGATATGGCTGCGCCATAAGCAAGTCTTGAGCTGTTCCCTCGGAGTAACAGTAGGACAGTGCTATAGACTGAATGTTTGTGTCCCTCCAAAATCCATGTGTTGACACCTAACCACCAATGTGATGGTAGTAGGAGGTGCTTAGGTCATGAGGGTGGAGCCCTCATGAATGGGATTAGTGCCCTTACAAAATCCCTTTTTATAAACCCCAGAGAGCTCCTTTGGCCCTTCCACCATGTGAGGGCACAGAGAAAAGACAGCTATCTATGAACCAGGAAGTGGGACCTTACCAGACATTGAATCTGCTGGTGCCTTGATTTTGGATTTCCCAGCCACTAGAACTGTGAGAAATAAATTTCTGTTGTTTATGCCACCCAGTCTATGGTAGTTCTGTTACAATATCCGAACAGTCTAAGACAGACAGGATTGGTGCCACGTGTGTGCCCAAGACACCCATAGGAGAGTCAGTGTGGTACAGAGAGGACCACGTAAAAGCCTGGCTTGGTTTCCTAGCCCCTTCAGGTTGTAGTTCCTTTCTTTCATTGAAGAGAAAACAGCTCTTGATAAGTAAGGCTGCTTTCGTCTCTGAAGTAGTATGCCTCTAAACAGTGACCCACTTAGCTTCTGGGGGAAGATTCCTTCCTCTCCCTCCAGTCTGCTCTGGGTCCAACCCACAGCCTTAGTCCCTTCTAATCCTCCATATGGGAAAACCAAGTGACCACAAGGAGAAACGCTCATGAACGTGAACAGCCCTGACTTTTCACCATAATGGGTTTTTGGAAACGGCCCCAAAGAGGGTCATTCTAAGGAGAATCATATTTTTGCCACAGTAACCACATTTAATTGCAGGTTGTGTTTTTGAACAAAAGCCCAGGATCAAATAAATCAAGGGCATAACCAAAAACTTGTCATAAAAATAAAGATATAGTAACCATAACCCCCATAATAATTTAAAATAGTAAAGCTGTGTTCCAGCTCCATAAAATGTCCTCAAAAACCTTTATGACCTCAAAAGGCCTTTAAAAGGAATGGGGGCTCCTTCTGCGTGTGTTGGATGATGAGGAGGAGGCTGGGCTGCAGGTGGGCAGTGGCTCAGCTGCTGTTACACCTACCTGTCTTACTTGAGAGACAGTTCTTCAGAATCTGGTGCCCTCTTGAGATTTACTTAATGACT